CCTTCAATCTTTCCCAGCATCAGGGTCTTTTCCAAAGACTCCTCTCTTCACATTAGGTGACTAAAGTATCTGAGCTTGAGCTTCATTATCACCCAAAAAACCCAAACTTCACAGATACATTAATGGAATGTGAGATGAAGAAATGGATCAGGAAAGGGATCCTGGGGTAATCACAGATAGCTCAATAAAAATGTGAATCTAGTGCATGGGTGCTGTAAAAAAAAGGCAAATTCTATGTTTGTACCATTAGGAAGGAAACTGAAAATAAAACAGAATAGGTAGTCCCAGTTTAAGAATGAGTTCCATTCCCAAGGTCTGTCCTTAAGTCGAATTTGTATGTAAGCTGGAACAGTATTATTGTATAATACTGTATAACTAGTATTGTGTAATGAACTTGAACCATTGTGTATTTAACTCGTATCATTGTGTATTTAACTCAAATGTTGCTATAGTAGGCTCCATTCTTAACTATGGGTTGTCTGTAACGTGGTCAGGTGTTCTTAACCCGAGGACTACCTGTAATATCATTTGCTCTACATGGATTGTCTTCTTGGGATATTTTAAAATCAAAGACCTTCCACTGAACAGGGAAGAACTTGTAGGATCTCTAATTTGAAAGAGCCAGTCCTGATGTAATGACTAAAACACTGGGCTGGGACTGGGGAGATCTGTGTTCAGGTCTATCCTCAGCCATAGAATGTCACTAATGGGTAACATTGAGAGAGTCACTCTGTCAACCCTACCTATTTCACAGGATTGTTATCAGAATAAGATGAAGAGAGAGCCTCGTATGAATTTTTTTAAATTTAAAACTTAGTAATTTTTATTTTAATAGTAAAAGGAAGTAAAATCATGCCCTCTATGATCCAAATTCAGGAACCATGGAAAATACTGCAGAGGAAGATTTCTTCCCTGATATTGCTGGGAATAGGCTATGACTGAGCAAGATAGCTGTTAAAGCAAACTTACTGATAGGAACTCAAAGGATAAAATCCCTCAAGTTGGGATCTGGTTACGTTATCCCAGGCAGTATGATATCATAATATACTCTTCTAAAGTATTACAGAGTGTTCACCCTTGTGCCTTTTAACATCTTCCTTTCAGGAACATTGCTAATGTGAGACACTGCCCATGTGGGGAGGTGTGTAGAAACAGCCTTTTTAAAATAATA